GGGGTCGCTATGAGTCGGGGCCGACTCGACGGCACATAACAACAACAACAATCTAGAAGTGAAGCATGTAATTTTTTCTCACAACTCATTGGCCAGAACTAACATGGTCAGTTGGGTAACATGGCCTCACTCCATTAAAAGGGAGCCAGATAGTGATTCTTCTTTACTAGAAGATGTAGAAACCAGTTATAGTTGATGAACAATTCTATAAACCATCACATGATTTGTGAGGTATTATGGGCCTTTTGGAGCTCTGCTGGTGTATTAGTTAAAGCACTCAGCTGCTAGCCAAAAGGTTGGAGATTCAAACCCACCAGCTGCTTCCCAGAAGTGAGATGTAAGAGTCTGCTTACATAAAGATTATAGCCTTGGAAATCCTATGGGACAGTTCTACTCTTTCCTATAGTGTCATTATGAGTTGAAATCAATACAATGGCAGCTCTGTTGTTGTTGTTGTTGTTGTTGTTGTTTTAGTTTGTCAGCCTGTTAAGTGCCAAAAAACTTTCAAAATCACCAATGTTCAGAATTCCTAAATGTATAGACAAAATTGTGTTATAAAATCCCCAGCATTGAAGAAATATTGTCAGTGATTTGGGGTGTAAGTAAAAGGTTTTTCAACATTTGACTTCCATGCCACATGGTTTAAAATCAGGGAAGGTGTGTCAGGGTTGTTTCTATCTTTTCACTATATGTACTTAATCTGTATGCTGAGCAAGTAATCCGAGAATATAGACTATATGAAGAACATGGCATCAGGGTTGGAGGAAGACTTTTTAACAACCTGCAATATATAGATGACATAACATTGCTTGCTGAAAGCAAAGAGGACATGAAGTACCTACTTATCAAGATCCAAGACTACAGCCTTCAGTATGGATTACTTCTCAACATAAAGAAAACAAAAATCACCATGACATCATGATAAACAAAAAAGATTGGAGTTGTCAAGGATTTCATTTTACTTGGTTCCACAATCAGTGGCCATGGAACCAGTAGTCAAGAAATCAAATGACATATTACATTAGGAAAATATTCTGCAAAAGACCTCTTTAAAGTGTTAAAACGCAAAGGTGTCACTTTGAGGTCTAAGGTGCACTTGACCCAAGCCATGTTATTTTTAGTCACTTCATATGCATGTAAAAGCTAGACAATAAATAAGGAAGCCTGAAGAAGAATTGATGCCTTTGAATTATGAGGTTGGCAAAGAATATTGAATATACCATGGACTGCCAGAAGAATGAACCGATCTGTCTTGAAGTACAGTCAGCATGCCTTAGAAGTGAGGAAGTTAAAACTTCATCTCAGATACTTTGGACATGTTATCAGGAGAGATCTGTCTTGGAGAAGGAGGTCATGCTAGGTAAAGAAAACGGTCAATGAAAAAGCGTCAGTGAGATGGACTGACACAGTGTTGGCAACAATGGGCTTAAACATGGCAATTGTTTTGTTCTGTTGTACACAGGGTCGCTATGATTTGGAAACCTGCTCAATGGCACCTAATAATAACAACAACATGTGTTCTGTAAAGTTGTGACAGGCACAGCTGTTCTTCCCTGTCTGTAAAATACTTGTTTCCTTTACACTTACTGATACTGGGGACAGATACATAGCCTTCTTGATCTATTTTGCCACTCTGCACATTAATCGAATAGTCTGGGGCATAATGGTTAAGCACTGGTCTCCTAATTGAAAGTTGGAAGTTTGAACCCACTAGTTGCACCATGGAAGAAAGATATGGCAGTCTGTTTCCATGAAGACTGCAGCCCTGGAAACCATATAGGGGAAGTTCTGCTCTGTTGTGTAGATCACAAAGAGTTGCAATCAACTCAACGGCAGTAGGTTTGAGTTTTGGCACATGAATCATTACGAATAACCTTTTTGATTAGTAATTTTTGGCTGATCCACCTGATTCTCTAACTCGTTACTCCCACATATTTGTCCTCTGGTGAAGCTGGGTCATTTGATTACATAAAAAGAATAATATAGTGGTTTGAACTACTGACCTTTTGATTAGCAGCTGAACACATTAACCATTATGCCACCAGAACTCCTTAAGTTTCATTAGAAATAGTGAAATTAAATTGGTCATTTATTGAGATTAGAGAGCAAGTTCCAAAACGGAAAAGAGACATCACAGTATCCAAGTTTCTCTTATGCTCCATCCCTTGTAGGAGCACCCAGGGAATGGGACTGAACTCAGTTCTCATATTCAGTCACTAGGACATGACAACTGTCAGTAAATTTTATCCAAACAGGCATAGTAAGAATTTCCTATAGAATTTTCCCCATTGAATGTCTCCAAATTATAATAACCTCCCTAAAAATCCATTGGGAAAATAATCAAGAAACTGAAATATTCAGGTTTAAGATTTATCACCAAAGGAAAATGAGTATTTTTTTCTTTTCTCTTGTATCTATGTCAGTTATCATTATATTTCCATGAAAAAAATCCTCTGTTTATTTATTATATAACAGCTTTAGAGTGACCACTGATAAAACTTTTATATTAAACTTTTTTTCAGAGCTAGAAACATTAAGAGAAATAACATGTGAGTCTTGCTTTGTTTTCAATATATCTTTTGATTACAGAAAAAATTCTCACTAAATAGAATTACAATAGAAAATATACTAAGTGGCTTGGGCTAGCTTTTATATACTTCTAAGACCCATGAAACCAAGAGGCAATATGAATATTTTTGTTTCTACTTTTTCTTACTGAGATAAAGGATCGTTCATCTACCATATAATAATATTCAATGCACTAACAATAGTATTTATTTGCATAGGTGGTTGAAGTTTGAAGAAGATGTGGAAGATGGAGGAGAAAGGTGGAGTAAGCCTTATGTAGCAACTCTTTCATTGCATAGCTTGTTTGAATTGAGAAGTTGTATTCTGAATGGGACCGTGCTGCTGGACATGCATGCCAATACTTTAGAAGAAATTGCAGGTACATCTTTTTTCCCATCAGTCTCTTTTACTCTTAAGAGTACAGTTGAATTTTGTTAGTCTCCCTTACTTACAATTTTATGTGTGTGAACTTTGGAAAATGAATTCCCATAATCACTGTTCTATGTTGTTGCTGTTAGTTGCTGCAGAGTGAGCTCTGACTAATGCTGACTTAATGTGTAACAAAAGAAAACAATGCCTGTTCCTACGCTATTTCCATAATCTGATATGTTTGAGCCTATTGTTGTAGCTATTATGTCAATCAATCTCAATGTGAGTTTCCCTCATTTTTGCTGACACTGTAATTTACCAAACAGAATGACCTATGGGACCTTAAAAACTCATTTTGCCTTGCCCCCTAAGTTTAGATAGAAGGAAGGTGAATCTCAGAGATATGTGGTATCTGGTTAGTGACAGGTGTAGAATAAAACTTGAATTCTAGATATCTTGACTCCCTTTCAGTATTTATTGTTTTTCACTGTCATAATAAGTGAGACTGTCACCTTTAGAAAACTAAAGGAAAAACAAAAAATATTTAAATCTGAAGATTGACTTTTCCATATTGAAACACTTAAAGTATCCAAATAAAAAAATTATAGTAAACAAGAAAAATGTTGGTTTAAATGGGCATAGGAAGGTATGGCCATTTTTAAAAACCTCCTGAATTCCAGAGGAAGCCAAGTGATGCAGTTGTGAATAGTTTTTTAGTTTAATGCTATGGTTAGTCCCTGGAATGAATGCTTTGGATTAAAATTCTATTATAGCTGTGTAATACAAGCAATTATATTTATGTTAGCATCAAGAACTATAAGATATCACCTATGGTGTATTACCAATATGACGAAGTAGAGTTAAAGAACTCTTGTATCTTTTGGTCTGTACAACAAACACATTTTGATGAAAACAAAATAATACAAAACAAAAGCAAAGTCATAGGAGTAAGCTTTGAGAGAGCATAAATAAAATTTCTAATGGAGGTTTTTAAAATAAAAACAAAAAGAAAGGACTCAGGCAGTTTTTAAAATTATTCGTTTGGAAAGAAATAAAAGCAGTTATATATGCAATTTATTGGGGAAGTACAGGGTACAAGGACTTACTGGAGACTTCAATACCTTAATTATATTGTAGAGATGGAAAAACCAACCAACCAATAACCCCACACTTGTGTGTTTTAAGGTTCTGCCAGTGATGGAGTTTATAGATTTATTCTTATAAAGAAAATTTAAAAGAATGAGAAAAGTTAGGATAACATATAATTCAACATCATTAGAAAAATATTGCGTGTAATTATCTTCAGAACAGCCCTATAAAGTAGATGTCATTCCCATTTTTCAGTGAGAAAACAAACTAAAAATGTCATGGCCCAGATTTCTACTTGCATCCCTGACTGTAAGCCCAATGTCCCTTCTATCATACTACAACTGTTACCTGAAGAAAAAGAAGATGGCTTGAAGTGGATGTCATCCAAATTTTAATGACAGTTTGATCGTTTTAAAAATTATGTATTTTGTTAATTATGATGGTAATTAGGCATACATTAAAATATATGTGAAAATAAAAGTAAGCATAGAAAACATTTTGGCTCACAATGTTAAATAAAAAGAAAACAAGAAAGATATAATCCTTTCCTCCCTGAATTGTATGCGACACTTTAAAAGCTATTAATTACCTCTTTAAAATGCACAATGAGAGCCTCTAAAAGACGGTATAAACTACAGTATAATTTTTAGAAGAATACAGGGTACAGTAACAGTTCACACTACATCAAGACTTAGAGAAAATGGCTAAATTAGACATTAACAAACCTCAAGAGGATAGTAGCTATCCAGCTCTATTTCTTAGCTTTACATTATAAGCTTTTGCTAATAGCTAATGAACATTTTGTATTCTAATTAGGAATGAAGTAGCTGGGCTTTTCATAGAACTTTGCAGTTTAGGATGCTCTTAACTTTTTGATACCACAAACTTGGAGCTTGGTATTACAATTATCCCTACTCTATAGATAAAAAAAAAAAAAAAAAATTGATATCCAGAAGGTTAAATGTCTTTCCCAAAATAAGTTTATTTCTGCTCCTTCACTCAGTGATGACATTACCTTTGAAAATTGGTTAATCCAAAAGAGGTTTGGATTAGCTATATATGATAAAACCAAACTCATTTCCATCAAGTCGATTCCGACTCATAGGCGAGAACTACCTCATAGGGTTTCCAAGGCTGTTAACGAGACTGTTAAAGATTAACGGAAGAAGGCTACCCCATCTTTCTTCCACAGAATGGCTAGTGGGTTCTAACCCTTGACCCTTTGTTTAGCAGCCAAATGCCTTAACCACTACACCACCTGAGTTCCTTGGTTATATATAAAAGCTCTGTCAAATGCCTCAACCTGGAAAAATTAGACTCAGGAAGTTCTTTTCATAGTTTTGTCAGGCTTTTACTTTCTCACGTCATGTAATTTCTAATGCTTTTTAAAGAAATTATTCCTACCAGGCAATTTTCTCACAGTAATTTGACTAACACTCTTGTTCATTTTATCACCTTAGCTCAGTTTTATTCTTTAAAATTATGCTTCCTTTCCCTAACTTTGCCCTAGTTTCCTATGCTCAATTTTGTAGAATATATGAAGGTTGTTAGCTGTGTTAAACCAAAAATTTCAGGCAAATTACATTCTCTAAGTCTGTCCTTACAAATGAAAGTAGTTCAGTGGAAATCTCAATAACCCAAATAGCTATTGGTATTATTTTCTGCTCTTCTAATTAGTCTGTATCTTTCTGACTTTGAAGTAGCCCAACATGAATGTCCCATTTTCAATGTGGAACAATCTGTAAAACACCATTCAGAATATACCAGTGGTTTTGAACTAAAATCACATGGACAAATATGATTATAAATATTTGTGCTGATAATTATTACCTTAGATTCCTTTTGAATCATTCATGATAATAGATTCTCTCTAATTGAGTAGTTGTAACTTGGCTTATTATATCCAAAAATATTGATTTCTATCCTCAATGAAATCTCATTGAAACATTTTCTCCCTATAGCTCATAATTATTTTCTTATTTTTTACCTACTATAATTTTCACTTAGACAATTTATCAATGTTACCAATAGTCAGTAAATGTGCTTTGCATTTTTATCTTTCCAAAGTATTTTCCTTTTTTAGAATTTTATTGTGATTTGGGTGAAAGTTTACAGAGCAAATTCATCTTTCATACAGCAGGTCACATACACTTTGCCTCATTAACTTTGCAAAGTATTTTAATATCCATTAATACATTTTATTTTCACAGAAGCCTTATTAGGTAGAAATGAGTCTATCTCCTCATTTTGTAAACAAATAAACAGAAAATGATATATCAAAAGTGAAATTTGTAGAGTCAAAAATAATATTGCAATCATAAGTTTATTTTCTTTTATTTCATAATTTGTTAACATATTGATTAACAATGATATCTGGAACTCTATTTTCATCTCTGATTTATCATTATTTTTCTATATGTCAGGAAGTTACTAATGTATACTAGTCACTAGTTTCAATTCTCCAAAAGCTAGAACTAATAGTTTATCTTTAAGGACTCTAAATCTTACTATTTAGAGAATATACAGGTTCTGTGGAAGACTGGGCCATCTACTTCCATAGAGATACCTCCTCAGAAACCCAAGGAGGGGTCACTATGAGTAGGAATCGACTCAGTAGCAGTGAGGTTTGTTTGTTTGTTTGTTTGTTTTTTGGTTTGTAGTATTAATGTTTTCTAGACATTTATTGTGGAATAGATATGACCCAGATTTTGTTTTAGAATGATAAAGAATTTTTGTTTTTTCTTTCACCCAACTTAATATATGTTTACCTTCTAGTTAGTGGTTTAACCTTCGCTTCCCTACCCATGCCACAAAACCATCAAAGAATATTTATTTTTTGGGGAAACATTTTTCTTGACAGTTTACAATAGTGTTTGCATACAAAATTATCTTCATGAAGTTTGATATCAATGATCTTACTTGCTTTTAACAGACTATAAGATACAGGCTCTTAGATAGCTCTTTTAAGAAATTTTTACAGACCTGGCAGTAAATCCTATTTATATCTAGAAGGTCTGTCAAAAATTTCTGGTGCAGAGTTCTGGTTAGATGGCAGAATAAGCAGAAAGACTGCACAGACCCTCTTCAACAAAGAAAAGGGGAACCAGTTAACACAAACACAGAAGATAATCCTGAACCCCTGAGCTTTGAAGGAAAGGACATAAAAGTGGACTAAACTTCAACTAGCAGAGGAATTTGCATGATAACACCAAAAAAGGAGACATATGGAGCTGTGGTCTGGCAGCGATCCTGACGGCACAGACAGCTTAAATATTGCCGACTGGTGATAGGACCTAAGAATTAACCTAAAAACCAGCCCTGCTAGCCAGGGACTGCATGGAGGACTGCTCTGGTGGCTGGGTAATAAAAGGGAAGGCAGCAAAGAGCAAGGCTGGCTGAACTGTGGACTTTTGCCTGTCTAGAGGGCACAGCCATTTTGAATGTTTACAAGTGGCTTGACCATTTTGGGTATTTAAAATGTCAGTATTCTCCCAGATTCCGAGATTTGAGAATAGGCCCAACTTGCCAGGAACCCCAAAGACATTCTGGACCCAGACGACTGGAAAGGTGCGACATTCCCCTTGTTACTCTTATACCCCACACACTCTTGGTGAATGGAGATTTGGCCATCCCTCATTCACACCCACTTTCTGGGCTGGCAGGAATTCCATCCCAGCCTGTGTTCAGCCAGAGCCTAGGTGCCCTGCTCTGCCCTGCCCTGATTTTTTTTTTTTCCTGTTTTCTGTTTGTTTTTGT